TCCCCGACAACCTTCCGTAGGTCCCTGGTGATAATGAAGTTTCTCCTGGACCGACAACTTATTACCTCAACTCTACACAGTTCCAGAGGATCACCCACTTTCTGAGGATAGGAAAAGATGAATTCCATCAGTGCTTGCTCTCAGGGCATCCCTGAAGACACACTTGGGCTTCAGCTCACACTAATGATTCTACAAAAGCACCTATAGATCTTTTCTTGACTATGAAGCACTTTGTAAGTGTTGCGTTGTTTGACTCAAAAATGGTGTGAGGGAGAATGAAAACTGTTATCCTCATTTCACAAGAAGGAAAGTAAGGTAGAGGAAAGAGAAGTGTTCCACTCAAAGAAACAGCTAGACTGCAACAAAGCCAGATTCATGTATTTTATACTATTCGATATTACATAGCTTGCCTAGGAGGCTTGGGTGGCCTGGCTGGGGGAAGGGGAGCAGGTAACATCATTATTGCCATGTAATCATATTTTACCACAGTTGTGCAAATTATGACGTGATACTGTCATCTACAAATGTGTTGGGTCTCATTCATAGCTGTCCTGGGATGCATACAGCTCATTCACCACAGGATGGACAGGCCTGGTAGAGCAAGAGTGTGACTGTTTTAAACCAATAACAGGTATGGAACATAGTTTGGTGCTAGCAGAAGAGAGAGTTTCTGGATTGCAGAAGCCTTTTACAGTGTGAACCCCCAAATCTTTCAGTAAAAAAGAAAGTTGAAGGTTTCTGAAGCTAATGTGGATCTTATAAAGGAGGAATGGGTACCAGTAGGACAGTTTGAACAGTGCAGGAAACTGTTTCCAGAACTGTGCAATAATGGTTTGTTCAGAATAGATGGTCTCCTGTATTAAAGAGCTTTGGGATCCAGACATTTAAATTGTCTACCAACATGATGTCAAGCACATAATGGTATTGTTGGGTCATGCTGGCAGGAGGTTCTTCATGAGTTTCCTACCTTTCTTCATGGCTTGGGAACAGAGGAAGTGACTTTATTGCATTCTGCCAATTTCAAGAATGTGTGTGCAGCTGAAGGTGGTGGTACATGCTTTTGAACCCAGCACTTGGGAGGCAGAAGCAGGCAGATCTCTGTGAGTTTGAGGCCACCCTGATCTACTTAGTGAGTTGCAGGCCAGACAGGGCCACATAGAATAACCCTAACTCAAAAAAAATAAAACAAAAACAAACAAAAAACAAATCAAAAAGTGTGTATGTAGACAGCTTTGGAAGATAGAGATAAAGTCTGCCTATGGAACCACTGAGGTGTGCACTACACACCATTAAAGACTCATATGCCCTATGCTAGAGTTACCTCTCCCATAATGCTTCCTGTCAGGATGCTGCCTGACTCTTTTTATGATGACCTGTGGCAATCAGGGATCCAGGAACTGGTGCAAGAAGATACTGATATTACTGTTGTTGCTGAGGGTAATATGGTCAATTATGGCGGACAAGGAAAGTTAAATTTTCCAGCATCTGTAGAAGTATGCCATGCTGAATATTGGATTGAAATTGGCCTTAAGAATTCTTGACAGACCATAGGGTACCCCTCCACAACATCTCTAGCTTTTTTGTTTGTTGTTTGAGACAGGATTTCACTATGCAGCCCTAACTGGAGTGGAACTTCTGTGTAGATTAAGCTGAACATGAACTCAAAAGAGATCCACCTACCTCTGCCTCCCACATGCTGGGATTAAAAGCATGAACCACCATGTCTGGCTACCATACCTCTCGGTTTATGTAAAATAAGTAAAGAAAGAAAGAAATAGAATCAAAAGACACTGGTGCAGTTTTCTGAGTCGTCCACATTTCCGGCAGGATGATTCTGCCTTTCACACAGAACCACCGCCTGTGGAAACCATATAGATAATTGGTCAAAGTGGTCAGGAAATGATATGCAGACAGTTTGAAGACTTCCAGACCACCCCACTGATGATGTCAGTCCCTCTGTGAGCAGTGATGGACAACCTGGGATCCAGGCTTTCAGACGGAGGCACTAACTGCCTTTGCATCTGTGATAATGCTCAGCACATTTGGAAGTTAGTGTCACTGTGTCCCACAAAGCTGGAACTTGACCCTTGGTCTATTGCTAGATTTTTCCTTCTGAAGCAACCTCCAGATCATACCAAAAAGGGCAAGGTAAATCCTTCCTTTCTGTATGCTATGTTTTACATTATGATGAGCCAATAAAACACACACACACACACACACACACACACACACACACACACACACACACACACACAAATCATCTCTTGTGTAATTTATGCTTATCCATGACTGGAGAATTTTCTGTAGCCTTTAGGGTTGAGGAGGTCAATGGCTTGTAGAACAATGTTCTCTAGATTTGTACTGTCTGATTGATAAAGATAAATGTGACTCTGACCCTGATGTTCATTTCAGTGTTTGACCCCCTCCAGATGTTTGAATTTTGTTCCTTCAGGACTTGGATCCTAATTGTGTCCAGTTCATAAGAACTTTACTTATTCTTCTGATTCTGCCTTTTCCATTGTAAGCACCTATTTGAATCAGGGAGGTACCCAATCTGGGTACTTTACAGAAGTCCAGCAAATACTTGTAGTATCAGCAGAATCTGATAGTTCTGGTCTCTTCTTGCCCCTGAAATCTTCACCCTAACTAGGACTTTTTCTGAGCGACAGTGGCATCTGATGGATGTGGTGTGTGCTTTAAAATGAATCTGGAATCTTGTGGTTGTGCGTTTGCTTTGTTGTATTAAGACAGGGTCTCACTGTAGTGATATAGAGTTTCTTTAGATGCTGCAGACGTGTGGTGGTCCTCCTTCCTCAGCCTCAGTGCTGGCTTTACGGGCACCAGCCACTGTGCCTGGCTGCTTCCGGTTCATTTGTTGTTTGTGTTTGCAGTTTGGCTTTGGGATTGCTAGATTAAATTGGATTAAGTGTGCCCAAGCCATTGGTGCTGTGCCCAAGCCATCATTCCAGATCTCCCTTGTATCAATGGAGGGGTTATTAATTTGTTCTTCCAGGACTCTTTATTGATACCTAACTCAGCAGAGAGCGTGGTCCCCATGGATCCTGGTTAAGAAGAGAAGTTCTTCCCTTTGGGGCAAGGCGAACAGCACCTATTGCCTTGCCCATGGCTGGCATTAACCTTAGAGGCAGAGAGGAAGGAGAAGGGTAGGGAGAGTGCAGTGCTGGACTGGGGATCCCTAATTGCATGTTGTTGTCTGCAGGGACTGTGCCTGGCTCTCTTCCTATTGTTTTTGTGCTGTGCCTGTTGCTTAACAAGGTGGTTACTTCATAAACATGGCCCAACGAGTGCAAGCAATCGCCTTCTTGGATGTTCCTTTTTGCCTTAATCATTCTCCTGGAATTCTGCTTATTAAGTTGTTGACTGGAATAACTGGATACTGTATTCTGGCTTACTATAAATGTTCCTGTATTCGATTAAATGTGACCAGTTTCAGTTTCTGCTTTTTCTCTGTAACCAGAAAAGAGGCTCATTATTCACCACATCCCGGATTCTTCAGCTCTGTAGCTCAGATTAGAACAGAGTTCTTTCTTCTCTCGTTCTCGAGCTACAGACGGCAACTCCATGGAGAAACTGCTTACACATGACTGAATGATTAGGTCAAGCCTAATGAAGGTGATGATATTGAGGGTTTTTAAACTTACGTAAAAAAAAAAAAAATCCTTCAAGCTAAACATAAGGGGTTGTTTGTTATTTTTAAAGAAAGCATTTGAAATACCTACATTTTCCCACAAACATTTCTACTGTGCTTTACAGGATGAGGAGTAACTTCTGTCTACAATGAGCAAGTGTGTGTGTGTCTGTGTGTGTGTGTGTGTGTGTGTGTGTGTGTGTGTGTGCATATGTGTGTGTGTTGTTTCCTTATCAGAATTCTTCCTGGCTGGATGGCTTGCTTGCCTTACAAAACACCACTTTTCCAGTTCCCATTATTATGTGAGCATGTGAAGGATAATTTACTTCATATTATTTAAAGCCTTCTGAATATTATTAGCACGAGAGGAAACCATGGAAATTATGGGTTCCTGGTTCAGTATTTTAACAAATATTTGCCAAGAGCCAACAAAAACAATATTTACTGCATGACTGAAAAACAAAAGGCCATAGTCCTTCCCTCCTTGGAATTTATTGTTCATGGTTTGCACTGTTTACCTCACTGAGCTCTGCAAGTATAAACTTCAGCTGGTTTGGAGCTGAGAAGGTGAGTGTGCAATAGAAGAGCATTAGGTTGGGGAGATTGGAGATGCTCTTTTCTGTGTAATCATGAGCCAAGGTTAAGTGCGGCTGTTGACCTGATGGCTGGGACCAGTGCAGGGGACATGAATCTGTGCAGTTCAGCTCAGTTCAATGAGTGTTTATGGAACACCTACCATACACCAGGCACTTTGCCTGGACTCTGGAAATAAAAACGAAAAAGGCATGGTTTGCCCCTGGGAAATAATTCATTCTAAGGGGTTCATTGTTCTGTAATTGATGAATTTGGAGAAGAGCTCATTATGCACTTATTTGGCTCTTTATGTACTTATTTTGCTCCTGAGTAATTTGAATCTTGTCCAAGGATGACTTCAGTAGGCAAATCCTCGTCGAAAGACCCAACCGTCTTTTTTTGCCATACATTCAAGGTTTGACAAACCCATAGATATAGTGTGTGAGATTCAAGTTCAGCAATGCTACCCCAGGCTTTTCCACCCATCAAATGTGGTCCCAACAGCATGCCATATGCCCTTTTCAGTCTGCCAACAGCCTGGCTCTAGGAAGGAAGCTTGATTGTCACCAAACAATAGATGCAGTATTGCTTTTTTTTTTTTTTTTTAAAGAACCATTAACTAAATTTTGAAGCCACTCACAAAAGCAAATTATAAGGGATGTATTTGTGTTTGATTAATTTTTTCATGTTAAGCCTTCCTCAATCCCCGAGTACAATGTATAAGTAGCATTCATGTTTGGAGTAGTAGGGGTGTAAACCTAGATGACAAGTAAGAACCATAGCAAAAGGATAGTGGCTGGAACACTAGGGAACAACCACTTACCCTAGCCTGGAAGGCAGGTCTTCATTCACTCCACCCACCCACAGCACATCCTAGCATTACTGCCTATGAAGGTCAAGGTTCTTTCATAACTGTTTTTGTTTGTGATCTTGACTTTTCTCTCTTATCCTAGAAGGGCAACCATCAAGATCTTGGTGAGTCAATTCTGAGTGATACACACAGCTACTCCTTTAGCTCACTATATCAACCCTCAAGGTTCCGGGCCTTCAGAAAGACCGTCAATCAGTTTGGCTGGCTCCTTGGCTAACAAATATCCACAAAGGGATGGATCAGGAGGTCAGTGATGCCTAGATCATGTCTCAGTCCTGCTGTCTCGTTTCATCATTTCATTCCTTTTTACTCTTCTTTCAACAACTCATACAAATTCTTTGTATCACTATATAGTTGACCTTCCATTTCCGTGGATTCTGCAGCCAGATTCAACCAATAATGGCTAGAAAATATGGTAGAGAAAAACTGTCTGCATCCAGGGTGCCATTACTTTTCCCTAGAGAGCTTCCCAGCTTTATAGGTTTACTACTAGATCAGCCTAAAGAATCAATTCCTAACATACTGAACTGTGGGGGAGGATGGCTTCTAAGAAAGTCTCGGCCTATTCAGGGAAGATGACCCCCAGCTGGCCCTGTGGTGGGCAAGAGGAAGAAAAATGGGAGACCAAGACCCACATGACCAGAAACTAGAAGCAGTCTTTTGTTTGTAACTGCTCTGCTTGCTCCAACCTCCATTCTGATGGACATACTTTGGTTTTGACTACTTGTCTGATTAAAAAAAGAAGCCTCTGGATGACTTGACTGCAAACAACATGTAAGCAAACAAACAGTACTTGTACTGAACAAGTTCAGACTTGAAAAAAAAATCATTATTCCCTGTGTAGTAGTACAACTATTTGCCACAGCATTGACTTCACGTTGGGTATTGTAAGTAATACAGAGATAATTTAAAGTATTTCTGTGGTAACAGCTTACACAAAGGACTCGAGCATTTGTGGACCCTGGTGTCAGTGGGGGATCTAGAACCAATTCCCAACCGTACTGAGGAGTGATTATATGTATTGAACTGTAAAGACTTGCTTGAATACAAATCCTAAGCATTTGCTTCCTCCCCTATCCTGTTTGTTTTCTAATTTTGGAACAGCAGGGTGTGCTTTGTCTTGGGATTTATGTACTAGGGGACAAGTGATATTTTCAGGTTACAAAAGAGAACATTCTTATATTTTGTCATTAATGACTTGGAGGATGTTGTACCCTGTTGTCCATTTATAGTGCAATCAAATAGAAATGAGCGTGAGTTCCCAAGCTTTCTTTCTGAATTTAATATGCAAAAATCAGTTCTATAGAGAGCTCACAAAACATTAGCAATGCAACAGAATATTAGTGGTTTGAACTCATCAGTTAAGAAGTTTTAACCATTCTCCATGGTGCGTGCTTATAATAGTTCCTTTTCTATTGCTGTAATAAAGCACCATGATGAAGGAAACTTATGGAAGAAATAGTTTATTTGGTCTTACGATTCCAGAGTGTTAGAGTCCATGGGGACTGAGGAGAGACTGCAGACATGGCTACTGTGACAGCAAACTGAGAGGTCACATCTTGAACTATAAGCAGGAAGCGAAGAGAAATAAGTGAGAATGGATGTGCCTTTTGAAACCCCAAAATCTACTTTCTCCAGCAAGGCCACACCTCCTAAGCATACCCAAGCTGCCATCTGAGGACCAAGTATTCAGAGCCTTTGGAGAACACTCTCACTCAAACAACCACATCACAATCCCTAGACCTATTGGTTTGTGGTCATCATAGTGCAATCTCATTTAGTCCAACTCCAAAAGTCCACATAGTCTTTCACTCTCAACACTGTTTATAAGTTGGGAGTTCAAATTCTCATCTGAGACACAAGGTCATCTCTTAATTATAGACATCAATAAAATCAAAAAGCAAATTATGTACTTCCAACATATAATGGTACAGAATACACATTACCATTCCAAAAGGAAACAGGAAACACTAGACTAAAATGAGTGAAGCCAAGCAATGAGAACACGGAATCCTGTTGTTCTCTGTTCAGAGTCAAAGGACTCAGGTGGCTCTGCCCTTCTGTGGGGCATACATGAGCTACAAAGATCGTGTGGAGAGGAAGTTAGCCCAAGTTGTGTACGCTGAGATAAGATACAAAGATCAGGAGATGATGTCAGTGCATAAACAGCTCGAAAACAAGGAAATGAGTATAGGGTGACCTTTAAAACGATTGGTTGATTCCTTTATCCCCTCCTAGGATTCTGAGGTTTTCTAGTATAAAAGAGGCTTACTAACAATAAACGAGTTCTTGCTTGACTTGACTCCCCACTGTGTCTGATTGTCTCCAGGTAAGAGGAAGGCTGGGAAACTGGGCCTTTCCTCAGTTCCAGGCCACCTCCTCAGAGAGGTGACCTAAGTTCCTGATGGGGCAAGACCCCACACCCTTCCAGATGTGCTGCTTGCAACATACATCCCTCTCTTGGGCTGGTTCCACTTTCTGCATACAGCTTTCCTTGTCAGATAGCCCACAGCTCTGGCTTCTCCAAATTTGGAGTTTTCAACACAACCCTGGCTTTGTTTCCACAGCTTTATTCAGTGGCTTCTCAGGTTCTCTATGCAGAAACCTGCCACATATCTGGCCTTGGTGGCTCTCTGAAACTTTTGGGGAAGATTCCACAACCCCTTTACTCCTTTCTGCATCTTTTCTAATTGGAAGACACTACCAAATTCTGAGGCTATCTTGGGATGGACCCTTGTCCTCTCAAGCTGCATTGGCAGCAGCAATTACAATTTGGAGTTGCTTTGTAGGAGAAGAGCACTCCTTAGGCCTCTTCCTTTCACAAGTTGGAAGTTCAGCTGGGTGAGTTCTGGCTCTGAAGGCACCTTTCCCTTTATTCCAGTGCATGCAGATCAGACCTCTCCTTCATCTCTAACTCTTCCAGCATGAGAGGGTCAGAGTCCACAGTGGTGGAGTGGAGATCACAGGCATGGCTGTGCTGAGAGCCCAGGTCATGAGCTACAAGCAGGAAACAGAGAAAACATGGAATGGAGTGCGGCTTTTGAAACCCCAAAGCTCACTCCCAGCGACATGCTTCCATTAGCAAGGCCACATCACTTAAGCATTCCCAAGCAACGTTGCCAATCATGGACCCAGCATTAAAACATCTGAGTCTACGGGGGACATTCTCATTCAAACTACCACACTGCCTGTAGTCTCAGTTGCTTGGGAGCCTGAGTTTGTCTACAGTTTCTAAACGAATATAGTGAGAAACACTATAGACTGTCTGCAGAGCAAATTGCATGTGTTATTTCATTCCCAGATTTTCCTGTATTAAGGGATTTATATGAGTACCACTTCATCCACTAACTATTTCTGCTTATTTTTCTGGAAATATTATTAATACTATAGTCAGCAATGATCTTTCTAGCCCCAAATGTTCCTGTGTTATTTTGGAACAAGTAGTTAATGACTCATAGGCCATTGGGCATCTAAGCTATGGTTAACCGGTAGTCAGGTTAGGAAACTCTGTTCCCATTAACTCCCCTTCTTAGCTCAGAACACCTCTGTATGCCATTTTTTTTTCTTTTGATTCATCATCTCATGGTCACTTGTTGGTGTTTTCAAACCCAAAGTAGAAGCAGTGGCACTCCACAAGAAGTATTGTTCCTATTTCATTTCCATCTTAGGTAAAAGCAAGAAAAACAGGTCATAACTTGGAAAAACCCATTTTGTTATATTTTCAACCTGAGAGGTTTGGATCAACTTTGGTTGAGTGTCTGAAGTTTTGGCTCCTTACAGGAAACCTAACTTCAGAATTTTAGCACAATTCCTGCTTAGAAGAAGATGCCAGCCATATTTAGATTTTGCTGACACATAAATACTTTAGCTACCAAGCCATTTTTACTTAGTATTGTGATGTACTAAAAAGTTACATTAGGAAAATTATGTAAACTCTAATAATGGCTGAGCTGTCAATTCATAGTCTCATGAGTTGACTTATTCATTGATTATGAGGCTTTACTCACTGAATGAATGCTTGATAAAAAGTCACTATTTAAAATAAATCTAAATAAATAAAACATAAGTTTATTTATGGCTAATTCTTGGTAGGGAATGCAAAGTGTTCCCAGAATGTAAATATAAACTGTTTTGTGTTCTAATAACCATCTAGCAGGTTGGTAGATTCCATGAGGTGGAGGAAGTTTATGCCCAGATATTCATATTTATTATATCTTCTATTTTTAGGTCCATCAAGGTAAAAAACTAATTGGGCATATTAGGATGAGAAGCCAGAAAAGGTGACATTTATATGATTCTAGGTAGGTATTATTTTCCTTGGCACTGTTTATGTTTTATTGTTGTATAGATTTATCACAGTAAGTATTTACATTTTTTGATTTATCTCCCCTTCTACTCCCCCCTCCCCTGAGTTTGACAGTGTAGCTCAGGCTGACCTCGAACTTACAATTCTCCTACTTTAATTTCCCAATTAAAATGAAAAGCATGCATCACCATGCCCAGCTTTCTTTGCCTGGCTTCTGATCTAACCATCTAATACCATTCATGCTACTTATCATGCTCCTCACAATAAATAGCAATACAAGTCACACAGAACCCAAGATGGTATTGCTAAATAAATGCACTTCACTTCTCTTCATAAGATACTCTCTGCTATAATTTTTTTTCACCTCTGCTTTTGTGGCAAAAGTAAGTCACCTCAAGGGAGGAAGATGGGAAAAGATTGCCTCAGGGGTGCAGAATATAGAGACAAGGGAAGCAAATTCAGAAGAGGCCCAACCCCTCAGGTTGAAGGCTTGCTGTAAAAGGCATCGACTTCAGTATTTGCTGACATTCTGAGAGGGTGTGGTGCCTCTTTCATTGTGTGCCCACTTGCTTCCATGTAGCAGGAATGTCCTGGACAGGGTTAGAAATGGCTGCTCCTCTGGGTTTGTATGGTTTAGACTAAAACCAAAGTGCCAGAATTCTTTAAAATGATCTCTTCATGAGTTTCTAGACCTTTGAGCAGACTCAAAAGTGGAGAAAGGTTTTAGTAGTTTATCCAACTCTGTATTATATACCAAATTTTAACAGTTTTGCTCATAGTTAAATAATGAAACAACCTTTTATTTCAGGTCAGTTCCCGCCCCCTTTCCTAAAGCCTTCATCCAAAGTAAGAAAAAAATGAAGTAAAGGGCAGCTAGTACCTGCTCAAATACTGCTTAAAGCAAACATTCTTCTATTGTGTGGTGTCTGCTACTCACTTTCCCCTTCAGTTCTTGGAATAATATCAGTCACACTTAAAGATCTAACATTTCAGACGGTTCAGCTGAATAATACTGGATGAGTGAGAAAGTCCTAGCAGGGAATTTATAAAGAAAATGTTGACAGAGCCTGGATTCTCACAGTGCTGGTGGGTACCATGATTAGAATAATGGTTTCCTTGATCTCTTCCAGAAAGCGTTCCAAACAGTGGAATTTGTAGTTTTTCCTTTGGTCCCAAGATCAAAAAAACACGAACAATTTTACATTTCTAAGGTTGGAGAGTATCTGTTTCCACAATTTCAGTGGGAAAGCAACCCACCCTTTCTCAGTTTTATTAAAAACCACCATCTTGGCTTCAGTCTGTGCCGTTACAGCCGCTTTCATTATGGCTCAGATCTTCAGTTATGAAGTAGGAGACTGTTGTTTGCCCCTGCCTTTTCTTTCTAAAAAGTTTTTTTTTAACTTTTATTTCTTTGATAATTTTATTAATTTAGTACAATGTATATTAACATGTCAAAATTTTATTTATTTTTATAGTATAGATATTTTACCTGCATGTATGTCTGTGCACCATGTGTCTGCAGTACCCATGGAAGACAGGATAGGATCCTCTGATGGTTGTGAGCTGCCATACGGGTCCTCTGGCGGAGGTGTCAATGCTCTTAACTACTGAGCCATCTCTGCAACTACTGAATAAAAAATATTTAGATCATGCCCACCACTGGCTCTCTCCCTTAACTTCTCTCAGCCAACTTCATGTCTGTTCATCCTCTTCCACCTTTTTCTATGATGTATTGAATCTAACTAGTGGTGCCTATGTGCACACAGGTATAGGGTGCCATCTGCCAGAGCATGGGCAGCCTACCATGGGCCACACTGCTAAAGAAAACTGTTGATTAGGTGTGTCCCAGAAGACCCTCTCTCTAAACAATACAGGTTATTGCTGTTGTCCTTGGTTACCCACTAAGACTTGATGGTAACACTCTACTACTGAAGACAACATACATGTCCTGTTTGGTCACAGGACATGGAAAAATCCAGTTGGTGCTGATTAGGAAGCTTCTTCCCTGCTCTAGTTTTGTAGTGCTGGAAGATGCTTTCCAGGCTGTTGGTGGAGAAACGCCATGAACAGTTTTACTCAGCTGTGAGCTCTACAAGCTACGAAATGACTATCTTAAATATATGCCCATTGGTACAACAGCAGCATGAAGGCCCCCTCTCTTTTGAAAAGGTTCTTACTAAGCTGTTTTCAGTACAGTCAGTACATGAAAAACTGAAGATAGGATAATGCAATATTTAAACCAAACTGAGTTCAATTCCTCTCTCTGACGCTGGGTAACTTGGACAAGTGCCATGGCCGCATGCCTGTGTCCTCACACTTGTACATATGGATATTGATAATGCCTCCTCGAAAGGCTTTTATGAACTGAGGTGTCTGGACCATGGTAAGTTCCCAATAATGGATCTTATCATTACGTATATTGATTTTTAACAGATAATGTGGAAATACTTGCCATTGTTTCCTAAGATGATTTCACTGTGTTCCAAGCATGTGTGATGTTTGTTTTAAAAATAAAAGTAACTAGCTGGGTGTGATGACATGCACCTATAATCTCAGACTTAAGAGGTGGAAGCAGGGATATCAGGAGTTCCAGGTCAGGTCAGCTGCACACTGAGTTCAAGGCCAGCCTGGGTGACATGTGACCCTGTCTCAAAAACTCTAAACAAATCATTTAAAGAAATCAAAGATGAGGCATTCACTGAATTCTTTTTCACTTAATTATGTACTCGTGTGTGTGTGTATGTGTGTGTGTGTGTGTGTGTGTGTGTGTGTGTGTGTGTGTGTGTGTGTGATATGTATTTGTATATGTAGGTGCACACTCCTGTGTGTTCATGTGCACAGGCCAGAGGAGGATGTCAGGTGTCCATTCTATGTTTTTCTGGGTCTCTTACAAAACTAGACTGACTGACTCTCAAGCCATAGCCATCCTCCTGTCTCTACCCCTTGAGTTCTTGGTTATTACTTGTGTTACATGGGTATCAGTGATCTGAACTCTGGTCCCCGTGGATACTCAGCAAGTGTTTTTACCTAGTGAGCCATCTTCCAGTCTCTGGACACTTCTTTATGGAGTTCTCAGTATGTGAAAGTTGTCATCCTTTTCCCTCAAGGAGCTTAGTACCAGGTATAACAGTTATGCTTTGAAAATTATCTTGATAGCTGAAGGAAAAAAAAAGAGGTGATTTAAAGGTTCAGTAACTATTTACATTTGTGTTTTATTATCTGATTTCAGAATGCAGACAACAATTATTTCTATTTATGTAGACTCTGAAGAATGATTTAAATTACCAAAGCCTTAATAGAGATAGCATCCTGTATTGATACATTACTCTTTTATTGTTTTAGGAAGTTATTTTTCCCCCCACAAATCATGTCTATCTTTTTCACCATGTCTGACAAAGCACAGCTTAAAGAGAATTCTAGTCTGCAGTTTAAGTATGCATGCATTAAGACAGCCTTTTAATTTCTTTGCAAAAGAGAAGATTTTTTTTTCCCCCATTATTACAGTGAAACCCAGGGTCTGGTGCCTGTATTCTTTTTTTAACTGATGAAATGCATCTTAAGCCCCCAAACAATATTTTTACATAGAAAAGAGCAATGTCTTTTAAGTTTCAAAGCTAATACCACAAGAGTTATCTTGTTAACATGGTCTTAACTTAACCACTCAAAATCTTCCCTGTTTCCTTTCCTTCCTTCCTTCCTTCTGTTCTTCCTTCCTTTCTTCTTTCCTTCCTTCCTTCCTTCCTTCCTTCCTTCCTTCCTTCCTTCCTTCCTTCCTTCCTTCCTTCCTTCCTTCCTTCCTTCTTTCCCAGCCCCTCACTCCATTATTTGTGAAGAGAGAGCCTTCACCTGAAACCAGTATTAGATTTCTAGTTTCTAGAGTGATGAAAAATGAATGTCTGTTGAGCTAGGCATGGTGGTCCACATCTCTAATCTCAGTACTTAGGAGGCTAAGGTGAGTTCAATATGAGCCTGGGCTACACATCAAGATGGTCTCAAAAAGAAGGAAGGGAAGGAGGAAGGGAGGAAGGAAGGAAGAAGAGGGTCAAGTAAAGGAAAGGAGGCCCATTGTTTAAGGAATGCAGACTCTAGTATTCCTACCATAAATTGACTACGACAAAAGTTATTACTGAGTGTACCATCTCCGACTAGAAAATCATCAGACAGAGTGGCTAGGGTGTGAGGAGGGGGTGCTGTTTAGAGAAGGTGTAAGGATGAGAATGAGCCAGGAGGCATGAAAAGTCAGAGTTCATGTACTGAGGGAGGAAAAGGCAGAATAGTGGGGCCCAGAGGCAGGAAAGAGCCAGCAATGAGAGACAAGGCTAGGAGGCAGGGGTCTGTTCATGCAGAGTCTCCTTAGCCTTTGTAAGGGAGCAAAGGAAGACCATGAACTGGTGCTGGTGGTAGTTAGATTTAGCATGACACAGGTCCCCCAGACTATCACCAGAGCAGGACTGGAGAGAGGAAAGGAGACTGGTAGGGAACCAATTCTTTAGTCTAGAAGACAAATGATGCTTATTTGGGTGAGTAGGGTTTCTGAGGATGTGGAGACAGCTGCAGTCACATCATTGAGCTGGACGTGACAGGCTTGCTGAGAGATTTCATCGAGGGAGTAAACGGAGGGACCAGGCTCCAATTCCTCCAAACATGTTTGACTTTGTGTTGCTTGTAAACATCTTACCCCAGTGTCTCCAGTACTTCCTAGCTCTTCTTTCACCATCCAAATAATTGATGTCTACTGGATGTTTTTGCTTTTTCCATCCAAGGGAAACTCCTGGTTCTCTCAGTTTATGAAAACGTATATGGCTGGGTGGTGCTGACACAGGCTTTTAATTCCAGCTCTCGGGAGGGAGTGTCAGGCAGATCTCTGAGTTCCAGGCCAACATGGTCTACAGAGCAAGTTCCAGGATGACCAGGTTACATAGAGAAACCCTGTCTCTATAAAAAAAAAAAATTTAAAAAGGAAAGAAAAGAAAAAAGAAAAAGAAAGGAAACATATATGAAAAGAGGGGGTATAATAATAAACTATTTCTGCATTTAGAATGATGATGAGAAGGAATGCTAAACCCATCTCTTTAGGCTTTTCTCATCACTTGTATGAATGTCTGCACTCTTATGGCTTGGAGGACAGCAAAGGATTTTGTGCTTTATTGAAATAAATATCATTCCAGTGATTCTCTCAGCCTAACATGCACAGAGACCAGGCAGGCTCTCATATCAATGGAGAATCTGAATGTGTAAGTCTGAAGGGTCAGACCTTTGCACTCGCTCAGCTGCTGGCTAGTGTGCTGACCCTGTGAATGAACTTGAGGTGTCTTCTCTGGTAAGCATCATTGCTTTCATTTTTCAATGTTATCATCACCCAATCAGGGAAACGGATGCATTGGAATGCCTAAGTTCATTGCCAGCAGGTAGAAGAGACCAATGAAGAAACATCTTCCTTCAGAAATGCTAGAAAATATACATCTTACTTTCTTTCCTGGTCTACAGACAGCTGGAGCATCGATTGTTATACCATGTGCCCTTTTCCTTCATGGCTAACAATTCTATTACAAATTTCAGGATACTTTATATAAAGCTGATGTAAAATTCACTTCACCAAGATGCTTTATATATGTTACTATTAGTACTTAGTATATAATTTTTGACACAAATATGACATTTGAAGCATTGCTAGTTTAAGAATATGCTAATTCTATGGGGTTGGAGAGGTGGCTCAGCAGATGAGGGTGTACACTACTCTTCAGAGGACCTAAATTCAGTACCCAACAACGTATCTCCAGTTATTACAGACTCAATGCTTCTGACCTCTGTGGGCACTCAGACTCACATATGTGCACACACACTTGGTTAAAAATAAATCCTAAGACAATGAATCTGCTAATTTGGGAAGATCTTTGTTACATAACTACTTAACTATTATTCTAGTTAGGACTTCAAATATGTTTTCAGCCAAATAAGTACACCTTAGCTAGAAACAAGACAAGAGGACATCCTTCCTGCTACAAAGCAGTTATTTTGTTACTTGTCAAAGCTCCTCTACTTTCTAGCTTTCTTACATTTTGATATGTGTGTATGTATATATATATATATATATATACATGTATATGTATATATGTATATGAGATTATATGTAGTTCTAATTTCATTCTGTTGCTGTGACAAATACCATGACAAAGGTCAACTTAGGGGAGGAAGGGGTTAATTTCAGCTTATAGGTCACAGCCCATCATTGAGGAAAGTCAAGGCAGGGACCCAATCTGGACCATGAAGGTACTTTCATGCAATTCCACATATCAATAGAACTCAAATCAAAGAACTCACATCACAGCCAAGGAGGTACGGCAGGAACCATGAGGATGCTGCTTGCTGGCTGGCTCACTTGTAGACTGCTGCTTAGCTTAACTTCTCATATAGCCAAAAATCCTTGCCCAAATGGGCTGGGCTGTTCAACATCAACTAACAGTCAAGACAATCCCTCACCGGCATGCCCCTATGTCTATCTGATCTGAGCAATCAACTCCTCACGGAGACTCCCTGCTCAGATGTCTCTGGGTTCCATCAAGTTGACAAAGCTGACTAGGAAAAGTATCTTTGGATGTATGATATGTTAGAGAATTGACTCCAAGTTCTAAAAATATATATGTGTGTGTGTGTAATATGCATGAATGTAAATGTGTGTACATATAGGTATATATTTGTATGTTTATATGCATGTTAAGTATCTTCTGTCTGTTCAAACATTGATATTAGTGATTCATATCCAATATTTGTAGCTAGAGTTTTCCTGCCTGATCCACAGTCAGGACAAATCTCTCTCACCTGCCAGTCCCACAGCTGCTCAGACCTGACCAAGTAAACACAGAGACTTATATTGGTTACAAACTGTATGGCCGTGGCAGGCTTCTTGCTAACTGTTCTTACAGCTTGAATTAATCCATTTCCATTAATCTATACCACATGGCTCATGGCTTACCGGCATCTTCACATGCTGTTTGTCATCTTGGCGGCTGGCAATGTCTCTCTGCCTCAGCCTTCCACTTCCCAGCTTTATTCTCCTCCTTGTCCCGCCTGTACTTCCTGCCTAGCCACTGGCCAATCAGTGATTTATTTATTGACCAATCAGAGCAACACATTTGCCATACAGAACATCATATCCAATATTCCTACTTTTTCAGAGTTTTTAAAAAAGTTTTTTTTATCTTTATTTTTATTTTATGTGAGTAGGTGATCTGCCTACATGTGTGTCTGTACACCATGTGTGTTTTGGATCCCCTGTGAGTAGTGTTACAGACAGCTATGAACTGCCATGTGGATGCTGGGAATTGAATCCATGTCCTCTGGAAGAGCAATCAGTGCTCTTAAACCCTGAGACATCTCTCCAGTCTTCTACACAGTTTTTCGAAAACACTGTTATGAAAATGTTTGGAGAGAAAAAAAAAAGCGTGCAATAAACCTTTATGTGTACCTGCTCATCGGCGGGCTCCTAATTTGAAGTTGTGGTGTTGTGAGACACAGTGAGTGTGCCATTGTGAGACACAGTATTAGAAAAGTACACTAAAACTGGTGACAGATATGCTATCTAGCTTTTTGTTTGTTATATATTGCATTCCTATCTCAAAGTAACTTTGTGACACATAACTTCATGCAATTATAAAGTATAGTTAAAATAAACAATAAAATGACACCATTAATTCACAGACGCCATTCTGAAGTACAGTAGATTCATTTGCAATGTGTTGTGTTAGATTTTTAAGCAATCAGGGATTTTTATGTAACCCCATACAAGTAAACATTTTCTCTCTTTAAAGAAGAACTTTGGGTTTGAGTGGAAGAGATGAGTAAGTTTTCAGTCACCGACGTCTTAAATCAGTGTTGGATTTGGCACCTTGATCTCGAGTGGGCTGTGGAGCCAGGTCGGCTTTAGAGAGAAGAAGGCCTGAACTCAGCCATTGTGGGGGCTGATCGTGACTCAGAGTCATTTGGTGACAGAGTCCAAATCTGAACACTGACTCACAGGACCCTCCCTTCTGTTCCCCGTGACAGTAGCCCTGAAACCTCAGAAGCATTCTCTTTCATGATTTGTTTTGCATGAAAAGTCATTCTAGCATTTATCTAGCCTCCATTAAATAATGACTATTTTATAATTCAGACTGAATGAAGCCCTGGCCTCATCAAATTCAGACTCAGTAAGACTTGAAAAGAAATTTACAAGTTACTTAACAGAGAAGTTATTATAATGTACTTAAGAAAGAACAAAGGTTATGTTACAGCCGTGAAAGTTCCATCAGCTGTTCCTACCTGTCATGGGTCAATGTCACCATAAACACACCGTAAGAACAGAGTCAAGCTCCATCCTTGCCATACTTCCTTACATTTGACATGTTGAGGTTCTGGTTTTTGGCTGCCAATTCAGATCTCATAGCAAAATCTGGTCTTTACATTTTAGTATAGAGGGAAACTCTGAGTTATTTCCCCATTACATCAAACAAAAGAAAAAAGTAGAAATATGTGGATATTTCTATTTTGCACAGATCAGGGATTGGCCTGACACTGCCTTCAAGTGACTTCCTGCTGGCTACTTCAGGATGAATAGCCAAATGAATGACGTCACCTGTAGGTGAGTATTGTGACCTCCACTGAGCCCTCACCTACATATTCCTGCACTTTAACTGCTTTGGTAGTGCCTGGAGGAGAACCTCCTGAGGGTTGAGGCAATTGGGAACAGGATGTAGGACAGGGGGTCCCAAAGGTTCTATCACGTTGGATGGATCATCACTCTGAGCATGCCCTTCGTTCTTACTAATACTAAACTCAGGATAGTTTGGAGTAGGAAGAAAGAACTACAAAGAAGTTGGAGGCTGTATTCCATGTACTGGCAGGGCTTGGGGCTACCATGTCCTGGGACTCTGCCCTCTCATGGCTCTGAATATCCTTAGTTGTTCAACTAGGGTCAAATTGTGTTGGCTAAAAGATAGTCCATTAGTCAGTGGGAGATACAGTAGTTTATGTTTAAAAATATGCAAGCAATGTATAATTTTCCCCCACCAAGACATGCTAAAGTTCTAGGTTCCAGAGCTTGCTAATATGAACTTATTTGGAGATAACAAGTCTTGGTGATGTAATCAAGTTCAGGTGAAATCATACTGGCTTAGTATGGACCATGACCTAAATGACTGACATCCTTGTGATGGAGAAGGCTCTGTGAAAATGGAGATTGGTATGATTTATCTATAAACCAAGCAATGTCCAAGCCTTTTTAGAAATCCTCAAATGCTAAAAGAGACAAGGCAAACCTTCTCCTCACCTCTGGGCCTTCAGAGAGAGAGAAGATCTTGTTAGTTTCTCAATTTTTGACTTGAATCTGCAGTTCTGTGTACACTTCTGAAGTTCAACCCCACCCAGTTTGTAAAGGCACTTCTGGGGAATCACGACATCAACCAGGAAAAGGAAAAGGAAATATCATGACATATTCTATGACATATATAGAAAACCTTTCTCCTCCCTAGTGCTCTCTCGGTCTCAGCCGGAGCTCTCTTCCAGACTCTAGGCTGGAGTACATTTCATTCTTTCCGTATCAACCATCCAAATCATGCATTACTGATTAAACACAGGCAGGCATCCCCAGCCTGACTCAGGAATGCACATGAGTCTCACAAGGTAGAGAGTCGTTTCCAGGTAGTATAGCACCCAGCCATCAACCACTGCAGTGTAGATAGTGGCTGACATCAGCAGAGGCTGATGTACACTCTACCTCCTCTTGCTACCCAATGGATCCCCATATCATCTCCTAAGAGTGTGGCTTAGTATTCAGAAAAAACTCACAATTCCATATCCAATGTAAGGGTAAAGTTATTGGCTGCCTAGAAAGAAGGTATTTTTGGAGTAGTCTTATATTTAAGTACACACACAACTTGTGTATTTGACACTCTTGCTCAAATACCTTTACTGGCTTTCCCTGGAGAGTAAAGTATAATGCAAGACCTTAGTGTATCTCAAAACTGGTTCCTCTCCTGCCTGAGAGCCCTCCTTCTGTGTTCTGAACTCTTTACTAAGCCCCTTCCCATAACTGGAAACCCAGTCCAAGTACCCACTCCCACAAGAAGGCAGTGTTATTTCCACTTGACCCTATCTTAAAAAAAAAAAATGGATGTGTCTGAGAAGCAACACTCAAGTTGTCCTATGCCCTGCCCCCAACACAGTCACATTGCACAACATGGTATACCTGTTCATACATGATCATGCACACATATGCATGTATACACATAGAGACAAGAAAATTATGACTGAATTAACTCATTAGGAAGCTTACTCCAAATAAAATCTCTTGTAAGATGGTCTAGACCAGTGGTTCTCAACCTTCCTAACACTGTGACCCTTTAATATAGTTCCTCATGTTGTGGTGACCCCAAACCATAAAATCATCGCTACTTCATAACTGTAATTTTGCTACTGTTATGAACCATAATGTAAATATCTGTGTTTTCCAATGGTCTTCAGAGACCCCTGTGGAAGGGTTGTCCCACCCTCAAAGGGGTCGCAAGCCACAGGTTGAGAACCACTGGTCTAGACTAAAGAGGGCATTTATGAATGATGAAGGAAAAATGAGAAAGTTCTGGGTCCTAATCTGAAAAGCTTTCCCATTTTGTGTCTGTGCGTATGGCACACGAATACATTTGTAATACATGAGGAATGCATCCAAATGCAGAATATGAGCTGTTAGAGGTCTATTCCACCATTTTCCGTGTGAGCATATGGACGAAACACCTAGAGCTCTAAGGTGTCACCAAGACAGCCTTCTGCAGTACCTGAATTCCCATGTTAAGTTACAGCACAAGGAATGAAGCCTGTCTTGTTGGCAAGAACTGCTTTTCCTTTCACAGCCCAGGCCGGTGTGCTCAGCTGTGGGTGACTAAGCCAAACTTGACACAGGTTCACAAGAGGCCCCCCCAAATCTGACCACCATGGAGACTTGGCAATCAATTTGCACAACTTTGAGAAGCAGCTCCAATCTGATTTGTCTTTTGTTATTCTCTTTCTTACCTTGTATTTCTTTCCTTAAGAAACTCGGGTCTGATCTCTTCGTAGGATTTGGCCCACCGAATTGAACTTGATGGTTTCAGTTTTATTGTTGTTGTTTTTCTTCTTTTAGATTAAAAAAAAAAAAGAGTACAGGAGTCCAGGCTCCCGCAACTAGAAAAGCATTAAGCTTTCTTCTTCTAATTAGACACTTAAAGACATACTATGGTAAGTCCATGCTTTGCATTCCCTGGAAATTGTTGGGGGGGAGGGTAGTTCCCCTAAGCCCTTCTAACCTTTTCCTTTAAATAGCTTGGTGACTTCTTGTGGCCCATGGGTGAATGACTCCAGCTCAACACCTGAACATTGACCTGCTTGAATATTAGTTTCCATTTCGTTTGTGGGGCTTTTCCTCTGTAAGAATTATTTTATTTTCCCTGCCGTCATTCTCCATCCTGTCCTTTGTGCTTTAGAAAGGCCCTCTTTCCTCAGCTGAAGAACATTGGTACCAACTGCTTGACTCTCAAGAGGGAGATGTAAACTGAAGGGAAAACATTTGACCTCGAGACCATTCTGTCAGAATGCACTGATCCTTATTTCCTTTCACACTCTCTTAAGCTTCTTGTGAATTCCTACTAGAGTAGGTACATTTATTTATTGTATGAGTGTGTGTGTGTGTGTGTGTGTGTGTGTGTGTGTGTGTGTGTGTGTGTGTTATGTATGGTGTGTTTGTGGTGTTTGGGGGGGGATGTGTGTGTGTGTGTGTGTGTGTGTATGTGTGTGTGTGTGTGCAAGTGCACACATGCCGAGCTCAGAGAACACCTCTCATGAGTTGGTCTGTCCTTCTACCTTGTGGGATCTGGAGATTGAACATAGGTGGTGAGACCTGGGCAGAAAAGGTTCTATTCAGTAAATAATCTTGTCAGCCCGGCATTTTAGGTTTAAAAACCAGGATTAGAAACAGAAGGGAGACACGATCAGCAATTAGAACATTCCTTCAAGTTCTAGAAATTAGGACAGAGTCCACGGCAGCAGGTGAGCTGACTACCAACAAAGGAACGAGTGACTTTTGTTCAAAGTTTGCTCTGGAAGTTCAGGAGCCCCCACTGAACTTTGTGCCTGACTATCTTAACACTTCTTATTTTGTATTTGAGAGTCTGGCCAGGATTGGAAACAGGTGTGAAGAATGACAAGAGCTGATGTTTTTGCAGTACTTCGAGCCAGGAGTAAGTAAGCAAGAAATTCTAAAATGTCTTGAGAAACTTTGTCCTCAAAAACAGTCTAACTTGTATTTTTTTTTTAAGTGTAAGAGTTAGACAGGTGAATAGTCATACCAAAACGGAGCCTTCCATGGACGGAAAGAGGGGTCTGTAGTCACGCCAACATGTTCATCTTCGTGGGGGCTTTAGTATCCCTTCATATCTTCTCTCCTCTGATGGTCACAATCACTACATCAAAAACGAAAGTTTGGTAGGGTTGCTTTGATTTTACAAATGAGCAAATTGAAGCCCAGTGTTCAACAATGAGGTTTATTTTGGTATTTTTACCTGATAGGCACTCATACACGCTTTCATATGTCTTGATCTAGTAACAAATGAAGATTATTCTAAAACACTATAGTTTGATCTTAATTCCCCGAACCATTCAGGCTTGCAAATGCAAGTCCTTCCTTTAGAGACAACAAAAGTACATTATGTTTCTAGCTATGCATTCTGTCATGTCCACTCCATGTACTTTCTTAGAAATATTCAGAAATCGACCTACTCTTTTCAGCCTTTATTATTAATAATGATTTGATGTTAATTGGAAAGGATAGAAAGAACCAAACACTTCTGGTTCCCAGAAAATTGATGAACTTATCATTAAAATGAAGGGAAATTTGGATCTCAACATTTCTAGAATCTTCAGAATGGCTATAGTTACGGGAATGGAAAGCTTAGCTAGTTGGAACCTGTTAGCTGATACCTGGTTTGTAAGAGCTCTAACACTTTAAATGTATTGAAATTTCAGAGACATCAGTAAGAATTTCCAAGTGGTAATGTTGTGTTTGAATAAGTCTGATAATCCTTTCTGAATATTTGAATATCAACCCTGTTTGTGTATGTCATGTAACTGCTACTTACTGAATGTATATTTGGGGCATAAGGATGTGGCTCAGTGTTAGGGTATTTGCTTAGTATGTTTGGGTTTTGTTTCCAGTACCACAGTTTAAGACAAAATGCAACATATCTACCCAAAACCCACTTGAAGAAGCAGAATGTAATCGATAAGAATATACCTTGAAACATTTGGATGATTGTCATTATACACATTGAAATGGATCTCAACATAGAATGTGTGATCTAAAATTAGAGAGAACTTATTTCAGAACTGTGTAACTAATGTTCCAGTTTCGTGTTAAAGTTGTATTCTTTATTGACATATATAAATGTCTCTCTGATACAAATTGTTAAATTCAATACTTAAATCCTTTTAAAGTGGAGTACATTACACAGAGTGTTCTTTTTCCATGGTATCTATGCAAACATTTCAGTGTGGTGGAATTTGTCCCTTCTTGATACATATCACATCATCTCCAATCCTTGGATTGGAACTTAGAGCCTCCGCTCTGTTGGAACTCTAGCTTATAGGTACTAGACTGTGGGATTTTTCAGCTTTGGTGATCACATGAACCAAACACACACACACACACACACACACACACACACACACACACACACAGACACACACCACGACACACACACCACACAGTTTCTATGAAGACATTCATTAATATATTTCAGTTTAAGGTAAAGAAGCAGCTGGAGATAGCTGTTGGAAGCTGTGTTGGATTACCAGCAAAGATAAGACAGGTCCTCAGTCCTTGTCAAAAGATGGTTTAGCAGATATTGTATAAGGCTCCCTGCAAAACAGACCGTTTGACTAGATTATCTTGGAAACTATTAGAATCCACTACTAAATGAAATATCAGCTTCAAGAAAGAGTCCCAGCATATCATATCTGGAGGGAACTTCAAAAATTGTTTCTTATGCTTCACTTGTGAGAGGAAGAAAGTAAGCCCCTAGAGAATGCAAATAGCTCACTGAAGATCAAAAGGTATTTTTTTCCCTGAAATGTGATTGACAGGAGACTACCATTTTGGTTTTACTTAGAACATACTAAATCTGCCTATGCTGTATGGGAAACTAGGCATCTACCTTTTTGATGTCCTAGTTTTTTTATTTCGTGTTTATTAACATTTATGACTCACAAAGGTTTTCTACTGTATACATCCAATTGAATCGAATATAAGTTTATACTGCTTTCTCCCCAATTCATGTATATGTATAGTTATGGGAGAGTAATCTCATGGACTTTGTGCTTTGAGTAATTGTAATAACTTGAAATGGAAAGTTCAGCCTTGGCTTGAAAGATAGGAAATACTAAGAGTTCAATAGGGCTGGAGATATGGCGCAACAGTTAAGACTGCTTGCTGCTCTTCCAGAGAGTTGGGGTCTGGCTCCTTACAACCACACTGAGTGGCTCACAGCAGCCTCTAACTCCTGTTCCAGGGGATCCAGTGTTCTCTCCTGGCCTCCACACACACATAGCAGTTTTTAGATTTTTATTATTATTATTATTATTATTATTATTATTATTATTATTATTATTATTGTTATTAATGTGCTCTGTGTGTGAGAGAGACACACAGAGACACACACAGAGACAGAGAGAGACAGAGAGACAGAGAGAGACAGAGACAGAGACAGAGACAGAGACAGAGACAGAGAAGACAGATTACAAGATTAGGTTCTTTCCTTCCACTACATGGGTGCTGGCATGGAACTGGGTTCAGCAGGTTTGGTGATAAGCACCTTTACTGGCTGAGCCGTCTAACTGGTCTTAATTCGATGGAATCTTTATGAAGATCTTTTATTGGGTCCTTTAAGCAACTCTTGGAAAGTATTTTCCAAAGGTGTTTATAATGGCATATAATAGAAAAATCGCATTAATTTTTATTTTCTGGTTAATTTTAAATTACAGATGATGCTTAAAAACCTACTTGGACATGGTGGTAGATGTACCTGTTGTTCCATTCGCCCAGGGAGTTGAGGTGGGAGTATCTCTTAAATCTATGAGTTCTAGAGCAGTCTGGTCAGCAGCAAGACTTCATCTCACCAATTACTTCAAAAGGATTTCCTCTTCGACCCTTGCATAGGATGAGTAGGAAGCTTTGAGATAATAAAACAGCTACCTTTTAGGAATGCTCACCATGTGTCCAATGCTGAGTCCTCTACACCTACCAGTCAGTTCAGTTCTTATAGCATTCTCATGAAATACACCTTTGTCCTTCCATTTCACTGCTGAGGAGACTAAAGGCCCGAAGCTGTGTTGTGATGTGTACACAGCCACAGCCTACCCATTGGAGTGTAGAATGCAAGTCTCCAGTTTCTAATGCCATGGTAGCTATAAAGGAGTAAGGGATTTGACTTCAGCTCAGTATTCTGAGAACACCTGGGTCATATTCCTTCACAGGCCATAGCCCAGTCTAGACCATAGCCAGGTCCCAGTCCAGGGCTATTCCTGATAGTTGGACTTCTTTCTATATCTTGGACCTATAAGCTCAACCTTGGTCCAAGAAACTCCCAGGTTGGAGCATCATTTAACAACTGTAGACACAGGCAATACATGCCTAGAAATGTACTGGAATGTTTAGAACTACAGAACCAGGCGATACTTGCACAATCAATAGTAGGAAACTTCTATAGCTCAAAACCAAGGGGAAATCTGACTAGATCTCATCTTCTTCACTAGCTCATCTCTTCTGTGTCTCTTCTTCCATTATTAATTTTTCTGTCTCATCTACATGGTCTTCATTACTAAATCGTCTTTTCATTTCTTTTGGTGATGTTGTCTTGAAGACAGGGTCTCATGTAGTCCAGGGTGGCCCCCAACTTGCTTTGTAGCTGAGGATGACTGTGAACTCCTCACATCTCTGCCTTAGCCTTCTGGTTTCTGGGACTGCAGACATGTGTCATCGCACTCAGCCAATCCATCTTTCTTGATCACTATAGACACACATATCCCAATATGAAAGACATTGAACTATGAAAGTTACTCTCAGGGGTAGCAGTATGTGCGTAGTATTTTCCTTTTCTTCCACCACAGGATTTTAATTTCTGCTTTGGATCTATTGGACATTCAAAAGTATGTATAAATGGTTTTATTTTTATAGTTTTTAGAGGAAATATATCCTAATCAGTGATATCCAAAGAACTCTGGAAGATCATTTTGATTGGATAAAAGCTCTAAAATATTTATTAGATTTATTACCATTTGAAGTAAAAATGGAAAATTCAGCTTAACTTTGCTTTGAAGAGGGAAAGTTATTATTCAATAAACAATTGCATTCCAGATCATTTTGATTCGTATTTGAGAGCTCATTTCTTAGCTCTGGGAACATTTCATTTGCTTCTATCATGCTACTGAGAAGAACAGAGAAATGACAGCTCTTCTTCTTGTATTTATTTTATATATATTTATGCCAGGTAACTGGGGGCTACATCTTTGATAGAAGTATTTACTCCTGGGGACATATTTTCTGGTTGTATTTCATATAAGATGCACAACAGTGATTGACTGCAATACATTCCAATGGACTCAAATAATAAAGCTGTAATTCTAGTCTATGTCAGATCACAACTGGTGTGTCTGGTGTGTTAGTATTGTTTTGTGTTCATCAGGAACCACAGCTTTTACATTTTAACCATATCCAGCCAGAGATTAAAGGAAAACATAGACTCTTATGAAAAGTTCCTCCCTTAATGATCGATGAATCCTTTCCTCTCCAAGTTGGTTTGGTCAGTGTTTTATCGAAGCAACGGAATTCAAACAAGGACACTTTATTAATGCAAATGGAGAGAGAAATTGGTGTGAACTGGGCTACTGTCACTGGAGAAGATAAACACTGGTCAAAGTCTGGGTCTGTTTCCGACTGGAGTTATCAGGGCTTTCTAATGGCCTCAAAATGGAATGGAATGGAAGGGAAGGGAAGGGAAGGGAAGGGAAGGGAAGGGAAGGGAAGGGAAGGGAAGGGAAGGGAAGGGAAGGGAAGGGAAGGGAAGGGAAGGGAAGGGAAGGGAAGGGAAGACCAATGGAAGATGTCAATATGCAGTGGTCTGGGCCAGTGGGCAGGATGGAACCTACACTTACTGTAGTAGAAAAGACTATAGAGGACCAGTTTAGC